GAATCAATGCAATGACAAACAGTAGTGGTGATAGTGAGTCTTCTTGAAAGATTCCTCTCTTGATGTTAACATCTCCCAGTCTATCACTATTGAACAGCAACTGTGTCTTCCATTGTGCCATTGATCTTTGCACAAAGCTTCTGATGTTTCTACTGACTCCTGTTATTTCTAGGCAGTTGATTATCCAGTCATGTGGCAGGGAGTTGAATGCCTTCTTGTAATCAATCCATGCTACATTCAAGTTGGGCTTCCTTTTCTTACAGTTTTCCAAAATCATCTTGTCAATTAGGAGATGATCTTTTGTCCCTCTGCTGTTTCGGCACTTTCTTTTCTGCTCAGATTGAAAGAGCTTGTTTTCAACCAGATGGTGTTAGACTGCATCAGCTGCCACACCAGCTAGCAATCTGAAAGTTGTTGGTAAACAGGTAATTGGCCTGCAGTTTCCTGGTGCTGCTCCTTTTGCTGGATCTTTCATTATCAGGTAGGTTTTGCCAGATGTTAACCAATCTTCAGTTTCACCTCCTTGCAGTATCTTGTTAAACTGCTTGGCAGTGAATGGGTGCAGACCAGTCAGATGTTTCAACCCCAAACCATGCAGTTCATCTTCACCTGGTGCTTGCCAATTCTTGATCTTTCTTGCCCTTTTCTCCACCATTTCTGCTGTTATTACAAGCTCTTTCATTTCAGCTTCTTTTGTATTCTTATCTACCTCCTTTATCCAAGTTGCATTATTGTTGTATTTCTTTGGGTTGTCCCATAGCTGCACCCAGAGTTGCTCTGTTTCTTCTTTGTCAGGTGTTGACTGGTTCATTGCAGTCTTTCCATTGATGGATTGGTAGAAATGTTTCTGATTTGACTGAAATTGTAGATTCTGCCTAGATTGTGCAATTTGGCTATGGCTGTTATTTGCTGTTTTATTATTTCCAATGCTTCCTTGATCTTCCTTGTTTCTAGGTGATATTTCTTGAACAGGTATTCTTTGGTGAGCTTCTTTTCTTTCATCTGTTCTAGCTTGCTTGCATCTGATCTTAGCATGCTGATCTTATATTCCAACCTGATCTTCTGTTTTGGTGGTGCACTGTTTGGCTTTTTTTCTTGATTTTGCATCCAAGGGTATTCAGTTATAACTGCAGCTGTGCTGTACATCAGTTGGTTTGTTTCTTGCAGTGAGCTGGCGCTTATATTTGATATTACAGTATTGGCATCATGTAATACTTGTGCTTGCTGTTTCTTTGTAACAAGCTTCAGTGCAGGCAACCTTATTGTGTTGTTTTTGTGCTGTTCTAGATGCTCAGTTATACTTTGTTTCAATTCCTCTTGTTTTTTAGTTAGAGAGTATTGTTCTTTCTGAGGAGAAGGCTCTGCTGTCTGAGCTACTTCTGGCATGGCTTCAATTCCTTTGCCCTGGGTAGACCTTTGCAGTTCTTCCAATTCTATTTTTGTGAATACTTTATTTCATGTTATAAACCAACATTGATCTGCTAGCCTCTGTTCTGTTATTTCTGATTCTAGATGTTGTTCGTTCTTGTTGAATGAAAAGAATGTTGTACATTCTTTTCAGATATCCTCTTCCGTTGGACTTGATTTGTAACAGCAGATCATTATTTCTTTGTTTTCAGTCTTTGTATATTTGTGACGG